TTAAAAAACACAGAGAGAGTGGACATGAAAGGAACAACCATAATCTCGGTGATCGTCTCTCTCTTGTTCGCGTTGGTTACAACTACTGAAGCATTTGATCCAGTGTTAGATTATGGTACGGGTAAACAGATTCACAGGCAAGATGGGTATGTTATCAGAGCCTTGTGGAAGGGACAACATTTGTACATTGACAAAAATGGACTTTCCTTACGTGGGACTCAGGTTGGGAGCACGGCCATCACGCGTCGTTCAACTTGTTCCGGTAAGAGCACCGGACCGGAATGGTGAATTTGTGAAAACAGAAGTCAAATGTCGCGTTCGGTTCAATGATTCTACAAATTATTGGAATGATTTAGCAGATTCTTACAGAATAACCGAAACGGACATTGCACCCCTAGACGGAGGTGCATTCAAGTTCGAAGAAACCAACAAGAAACGTGTTTATAGGATGGTTTACCGTTTTTTAAATTCCGATTTTTATGAAGTTGGTATGCAGGTCAAGACTCGGAATAACGAGGATAAATATTACTTGGCTACAGACAGAAAACGAAAAGAGCTCCGTCTCATTAACGAAGAGACCTTGAACCAAGTCCGCTTCACGTTCGAAAAGCTTTGAAAGAAGCTCTTTTGTTTGTTTTCTTCTCAATTCTCACTATTAATTATCATGCTAATTAATAAGTTATTTCGATGAATGGCCTTTTTCTCTTAATTTGTGTTCGAATAATGCATGGTTGAAAGTTGAAACTATACCATGCTAGTAGTTTTTGTTTTCCCTTCTTTTTATGTGTGTGTTTTGTGTCATGTGATCACTATGGATGTATTTTGTTTTATGGATGTATTTTGTTAAATCAAATGACACTCTTTCCTACAGAACCTGTTGTTTTAAGTTACAATTTTTATTAGCTTTTTCATCCACGAAGGCGTCGAAGGGATTTGTACGTACTTTGTCATGCAATCTCTATAAATAAATAGTTTCGATTGGGATTTAAAGGTAGAGGCGCTAAACAAAACATTTTTCTAGTCTCTCCGTTTAATATAGAGAATCATTTTAACTGTATATTTTTGTTTTAAAAAAAAATGTCGCTTTATATTAATTAAGGGATATCTTTTTCCGGTTGTTTTTATTATCTCTCTATGACTTTCTTTCTCTCTAGCAATGACACAAATGAATGTCGTAAGTCGTAATATTAGTTAGATTATGTCGTAACCAGATGAAATATTTGCCACTATCAAATATAGTGATGTTAAAACGGGCCCGGCCCGTTTAGGCCCGCCCCGTTTAAACCAGCTCCATTTAGGTCTGTTTATAGGTGAGCCTGAATGAAGCCCGTTTAAGATAAAGCCCACCGGGCTTCTGTTACCCGTTTATGGGAATGAACGTGTATATAAATATGTTTCAAAAATCATGTGATTCAAATAAATTCAGCCAATTAACATTAAAATACGTATATATACAGTATGAACACCAATCTCCAATCATATTCAAACCATCTCAAAACAATTCCCATCACTAAAAGTCTAAAACATTTAATCAAAAAGAGACAATGAATTCATAACATTGCAACATTTTTTTAAACAGATCTAAAAATGTCAACATGAAACACATAGATAAAAGTCAAAATGGATAATGTTTTGGTACTCTCTTCTTCTTTGATTTTTGCAAGGACCCGTGCATTCATGATTATGACATTCTGCAAATCAAATCAAACAAAAATATATAAGTTAGAGAGATATATAAACATATATGTACCAAAAAAAATCAATCGAAACAAAAATTAATAGATAAAGAAATACCATTGTTCATGGCACACTTGAATCTTCTGATCTTGAACCTTCTAGTCCTGAACAACTCGCAGTCTTTCTAGCATCTTCTTTGCCAATGTCGTCGTTATTCTCTATGGTACCTACAATTTCAAATGTCAATTAGAAAAAACATAATTTAAAGTTTGGTTTAGGTAAGTCAATGGTTAAGATTGGTTATCATATGATTGCGGGTCAAGACATATGTAAGCGCACCGGGTGAGCGAGTAACCACGAAAGAGATGCGGAGAAGAGCGCGCATCAAGCTTGTGATGCTGGTACGGCGGTCCACGGGTATTACACCTCGAAAAGTAGCAAAAAAGACAAACTAGAGTTTTCGCCTATGTAGCCAAACCGAAGCAAGGTTCAGTCTCAAACAATATTAATATCAGTCGGCTCTAATCTTACTACTGTGAACTACATTGAAACAAAGCGGTTGAAAAGAAAAGTAGTCTAATCTTTAATTCAACTTACAAAAGAGTCAATTGAGACAGAAGAAAGAGTTTAAAGTACTCTCTGGAGATTCGAAAATACTCTCTTTCTTCCTCCCTGTGAAGAACCCTACCTG